GGTCTTGGCCTCCCAAAGTGCTGGAATGACAGGCATGAGCCACCACGTCCAGCCCACAGCTGGGTTTTGGGAATAAAGGCTGCCTGGACAGAGCCAGGTGCACCCGTTACTTCTTGTCTACGGCTGCATTCCTGCCACAACGCCAGCGCTGAGAGACCATGACAGAAACCACAAGGCCCGCAAAGCCAAAAATGTGCACCGCCCGGCTCTTGACAGAGAATACTTGCCTACCCCTGCTGGAGAGGACATCATCTTTCTGGAAGCAACTTCCTCTCAAAGAACTTGTAGGCTTGGACTGAGGCTCTCCTGCGCTCCAAGAGCAGAGTGGGAGGGATGACACACCTTTATTTTCCTCCAACACAGTAAATGCAAGCAGCTGAGGCGGGCAGGAACTGCCACGTATAATCAGTGATGACGGAGAACAGGCTTTGAACCCCAAGTAATCAGGGAAGACTCTTAGCATAACCTTTTCTGCAGGGTAAGAAAACCCAACCGGGGAGGCAGTTTGGGGACACTAGAGACACCAGAGGCCCAGGCTGGAGGTGCAGCTCTGAGGCACGTGGCCAAGGCAAGCAAGCCACTTGACCTCCACGGGCCTCGCCGCTTCCATGTGTGAAGTGTCAGGAAAGAATGGTCTGGCAGTTGAGCGTTCAAGGGCACTTGCTCTCACGTTCTCTCACCTCGTGGAAGTAGTTTCAGACAAGGGTAGCCATTTCCCAGAGTGCCTTGCGATTGCTTCTTTTATCCCACTTCTGTAAGGGGCAAGTAACTCTTAAATTAACCAGGATATTTTTTTTGTTTGAGTTGGAGCCTCACTTTGTCTCCCAAGCTAGAGTGCAGCCACCACAGCCTCGACCTGCTGGGCTCAGGCGATCCTTCCAAGTAGCTGGAACTACAGGTATGCGCCACCACGCTCAGCTAACTTATTTTAAAAAAAATTTATTGTAGAGACGAGGTCTCGCCACATTGCCCAGGCTGGTCTTGAACCCCTGAGCTCAGGCAATTCTCTTGCCTCTGCTTCCCAAAGTGCTGGGATTACAGGTGTGAGCCACGGCGCCCAGCCTATTTCACATTTTTTTTAAGGAACAGAGTTCTGGGAGGATTGAGTCAATATAATAAGCAAAGGTTACATAAGACAAACCAAAAAAAGGGTCTGGAGCAGACATTTTAGCCCTTCTAAGTGACAGAGATGTTCTCCTCATGTATTCACTAAGCTCCGGGCACCAGGGAGGTGGGTACATTAGACATAGCGGCCAACCAGGGGGAGGGTGCCGTCTACGTGAACTTGCGTTTTCACTGGGGCAATGTCGCCCCCAAGGGGCAAAAATTGGTTCCCGGGGAGTAGAAAAATACTATGTATTTATGCTTGTAAGGTATAAAGACAGGTGTATATATCTCATGTAAAATTATACGCAGATGTGCAGCTTGCCTGTGGTATGAACATTTCCTGGAGGGTTCACCGCAGCAATATGTACGACAGCCAGAAGGTGGAAACAACCCCAATGCCCACCAACAGCTGAATGGATAAGCAAAATGCGGTCTGTCCATCAGTGGAATGTTATCTGGCGATGAAAAGGAGTGAAGTTCTGACCCGAACCTTGAAAACATGCTGAGTGAAAGAAGTCAGACACAAAATGCCACATGCTGTATGATTCCATTTATATGAAATGTCCAGAATTGGGTCAGGTGCGGGGGCCACACCTGTCATCTCAGCACTTTGGGAGACTGAGGCTGGAGGATCGCTTGATACTAGGAGTTTGACAACAGCCCAGGCAACGTAGCAAGACCTCATCTCCACCAAAAAAAAAATAAAAAAATAAAAAATTAGACGGGTGTGGAGGCACTTGTAGTCCCAGTTACTTGAAGACTGAGGTGAAAGGATCGCCTGAGCCCAGGAGGTTGCAGGGAGTGGGCCATGATAGTGCCACTGTATTCCAGCCTGGCGACAGAGTGAGACACTGACTCAAAGGAAAAAAAAGAAAACGTCTAGAATAAGCAAGTTCAGAGACAGAAAGCAGGTTGGTAGTTGCCAGGGGCTGGGGGGAGGAAAATGGAGAGTGCCGGCTTGGGGGTGCGGGGTTTGATCTTAGAGTGATGGAAATGTTTAGGAGCTACAGGCGGTGAAAGTACAACACTGTGTGTGGCCGAAATGCCAGATTTTTTTTTTTTTTTTGAGTTGGAGTTTCACTCCGTCGCCCAGACTGGAGTGCAGTGGCCGCTCCCGGCTACCGCAGCCTCAACCCGCTGGGCTCCGGCGATCCTTCTGCCTCAGCCTTCCGAGCTCATTTTTGATTTATTGTAGAGATGCGGTCTCGCCAAGTTGCCCAGGCGGGTCTCGAACCTGCGGGCTCAGGCAATCCACTCACCTCAGCCTCCCAAAGCACGGGATTACAGGCTGAGCCACCGAGCTTGGCTTTTTTTTTTTTTTTGAGTTGGAGTTTCACTCCGTCGTCCAGACTGGAGTGCAGTAGCCGCTCCCGGCTACCGCAGCCTCCACCCGCTGGGCTCCAGCGATCCTTCTGCCTCAGCCTTCCGAGTAGCCGGAATTACAGGCGCGTGCTACCATGCCCGGCTCATTTTTGATTTATTGTAGAGATGAGGTCTCGCCAAGTTGCCCAGGCGGGTCTCCAACCCACAGGCTCAGGCAATCCACTCACCTCAGCCTCCCAAAGGTGTGGGATTACAGGCTGAGCCACCGAGACCGGCTTAAATGCCATATTTACCCACTTTAAAGTGGTAAATTTCATACTGGATTAACTTTGTCTCAATGAAACAGTTGAAACAAGTTCTAGGGGGAAAGTGACTAGGAAAAATAGTCTAGAAAGACCCTGGGGTGGGAGGTGTATTGGGAACACAGCAGAGACACACTAGGTGGAGGATACGCAAAGGGGTACGGCCCTTGATGGTAACAGATGCCACTGAGAAAGTCACCCTCTAATACCCGATAGACTGTTACACTGTTCTAAGACCTTGAGGTTATAAACTTTTGGAGATAGGATAACCTTAACTTTCAGTCCAAGTGCTCTCTCATTTCTCCCAAATTCAATGACTTGAATATGAACGCTTATGTTAAAAATTCTGTCATTTTCCAGGCTGGGTGCAGGGGCTCATGCTTGTACTCTCAGTGTTTTGGGTGGCTGAGGTGGGAGGACTGCTTGAGCACAGGAGTTTGAGACCAGCCTGGGTAACACAGCAAGACTTCATCTCTACAAAAAAATTAAAAAATCAGCCAGGCATGGTGGCGTGGGTTTGTCGTTCCAGCTACTCGGGAGGCTGAGGTGGGAAGATCACCCGAGGCCAAGAAGTGGAGGCTGCAGTGAGCCATGGTCACGCCACTGCACCCTAACCTGGTCAGCAGAGTGAGACCCCAACTCAAAAGAAAAAAAAAATTTTGGCATTTTAAGAGCCAAAGGTGGACACTGTAACCCTGCAAGGATCCTTTAAGGCAGATCGTCCAGCCCATACTCCCCGAATTCCCTTCTGTATTCTGTGTGGCTTCCTTCCTCAGGTTAATCAGCAACTCACAGCTCTTCCCACTCCCAAAGAGACCTGACATCATTGTCCTCTGAGTTTCTGCACAGCCAAACAGGATGCAGACCTCCCTGTGTAAGTGTTAGCCCACTTTAACCGTAAGAAAACAAAACAGAACCATGGCGAGGATGACTGCTGTGTTAAAAGTCCAAACTCGATGGGGTGAGATTAGAGGTCAGGTGCCAGGGGGCCCCCTCATGGCAGCCAGAAGGTTGGAGCGCTCTGGGAGGGGAAGACTTGGTGAAGCCGCTGCTTACGTGTGGGTGGAACCACTGGCCCGGTAGCTAGTTGAGACTGCACTCCAGTCTGGGCAACAGAGTGAGACTCCAACTCAAAAAAAAAAAAAAAAAAAAAAAAAGTGGCCAAAAAGAGCCAGGATGTGGTGTGGGTTGGTTGCCCTTTGCTGCTTATTGCAAAGTAAGACAAGGAAAAGAAAAGTTAAGAAAACTGTGCTGGCCTGAGAGCTAAAATGGACGGATCAGAAATCCCAGGCTTCCTGGCTGGGTGTGGTAGCTCAGGCCTGTCATCCCAGCACTTTGGGAGGCTGAGGCGGAAGGATCGCTTGAGGCTTGGAGTTGGCAGCCTGGGCAACATAGCGAGACCCCATCTCTACACAAAATAATTAAGTAGAGGAAATGCCGGGCTTCCTGTGTTGAAAAGGCAACACTTCTTCACACCAACAAGAGACTAGAGGGACAGTCACTGGGCAACAAAGGCCCGTTAAGCAATTTTCTGTTAAAGGAGACTCAACTTTCACTCATATCAGAAGGCAGCCAGATTAGTATGGGAGAGAGTTATGGGGCAGTAAAGCAGACTGGAAAGTTCTGGAAAAGAACACTAGTGACGATGACTGGCACAAATAGCTGAACCCTCCACTAAGTTGTTGAGGGCATCACTACCAGACGGAGCACTGTCCTGGGCAGGCTCCCACACTTGCACCAGGCAGGAAGTGACTGGAAAATGGTACAGCTCCCAGGTAGGGTTAGACTCCGGAAAGAACTTCCCAGAGGGCAGGATCGGCTGTGAGCAATGAACCAGGGGGTTCCTCCCACACAGCAGAGACAGGATCTACCCCCGGCCAGGACAGGGTCTTCACAGCCCTCTCCCAAGCAGGACTTCATCCCGCTAGACAGCAGACTCCTGTGTCTTTCTTTTTCGAAACGGAAGTCTTAACTGCAGTGGGCCTGTCCCTGCTTCACTACTGAACCGGGCCACGCTGGTTGCCATGGACAGCCTGAATCAGTTGCCAGACTCCTTCAGGAGGGAAGGAGGTGGCTCCAGGGTCCCTCCCCATCACCTGCTCAGGATGCAGAGAGATGGTCTCAGGTTCCCCTCCCACTCACCCCCTCAGGATGGAGGGAGACGGCCCCGGATGCTGCCCCGAGCGCCTGCATGAGGGCCACCCTGCCAGCCCATTCCCCTGCCCAGTATTACGTGAGCAAAAAAGTTCTATTGTGTCTGAGTCACAGTAGATTTTCGGGTCTATTTATTACAGAACTAGCATCACCCTAATACAATCATTACTACATGGCTGTAATACATTTATTCTGTAATTGCACATAATTTTATTTGCTGAAGGAATGTCCTTTACCCTCAAGATTCTAAATTTCGAGATCAGAGTTGCTGCCATGTAGGGAGTGGAGAGCCACAGCTCAGTGGTCTTTGACAGCTCAGAGACCACCCGGGTTCCATGTCAGCTTTCCACCCACCCACCCACACAGTAGAATGCTAGCCTACGCGAGTCTAGAGCCTAGTAGGGGTCAGCAAACTCTGGCCACGGGCTAATCCAGTCTGCAGCCTGTTTTTGTACAGCTCTTGAGCTAAGAATGCTGTTTACACTTTTACAAAGAACATGGGACAGAGACTGTATGTGGCCAACAAAGCCTAAAATGTTGACCATCTGGTCCTGCCTTACAGGGCTGCTAGGAGGGTTACAAAGTGTTGAGGCCACTGCCTGGCTCAAAGTCAGCACACAGTACCAAGTCAGTACAGCTACTGACGTCCCCCAAAAGCAGTTGGCTCCCAGCAAATTCTCCATTTTGCACTGTCCAACATTCTCTCGTTCTCTCCTTCCCTCCAGAAAAACACGACAAAATAAACAAAAACATGAAGAGCGGTATCCTGGTTATCATATGGCCGTAGACACTTTCAAAAAGTTGCTGGTAGTTCAAGTTCACTTACTTGGCACATGGACTAAGAAAAGAAATAGTTTCCCTTTAGAGTAAAGGGACCTGATGGCAGAAGCAAGCCCACTATGCAGCAGCTCCGCTGTTTAATCATCAGAGAAAGAGAGAAACACTTCAAAATGTGAGCAAGCCTGTAAGTAGGTAGTATAAGATGTAAAACTGAGCCTTAGCCATACCTAAGGCTGGCATTCTCCATGATTTTGTTGCATGCACGCACGTATCGTGGAGATCTGTTATGACGCTCTGGTGGAGCGTCATAATCTCCAGAGGTGGATAAATGATCTGCAAACACAACACTTGGCAAAACAGGTCTGACCCTTAAGGTGTCTACCAGGCTCTGGGTGTGATGGGCATCTCACAAAGAGCTTCTCAAAGAGTGTCTGCAAACATGGGACCCCAGGCATGGAGGGTGTGCCAGGGAGGAAAGTTCTTGGGTCTAATAAATTAGGTTTGACTTGGTTTGACTTGTTTAACCCGTAACTTCCGCCACGTCGTGTGTAGTAACATCACACAGCATCAATGCTGAGGAGCTTGTGGCCTCTTTGCATGTAGCATGGCTGTTCAAATTGACTGCCATGAAACAAATCAAGAACCTGGTTTTTGTAAAGTGTTTGCAGTTCTTGTTTTACATGTGTCTTGACACAAATTAAAAAGTGCAATCTCTGCGTTGACACCGTATATTCTCAAAGGTTACTAGTGAGCTTAAAAAACAATGCCTAGCAAGGAAATCTGCTCACCGATGTTAGGAAAAACCTAGTAGACCAAGTTGCTCACATTTCGATCAGGAGAGAGATGAGAGACAGTCTAGTCTTGTCATGGCTGGGCTTTCTGTTCTGAAACGAAACTGGGCAGGCCATTTGCGTGGTTTCTCTGGATAAGGTTCCATTTATTCATCATTGTACAAAAAAAACTTGGCATTCATTTAAAGAGAAAAGTTTACTATATCCAAATATTTAATATTTTAACATTGTGAAAGTACTACTTTTATAACAGGGCTTTTTAAAATGGAGAAGAGTTTTGGAAAAATTTTAAGAAGAAACGTATGATTTATTTAGAGTACAGGATCCAAAACACATTTTTAGAAAAATATAAAGTGCCCAAATACCAACTTACACAGGTGATACAGGCTTCCTGGAGCCACATGAAGCATTCATGAAGAAACACATTTAAAAACAGTCTAGATACATATTTACAGTTGGGTCAGTACAGGTAAAACCATCTTTCTTGGCTTTGATGTTACTATAGGAAAAAAGGGAATCAAACCAGAAAACCAATACTTGTAAGTCTCAGCATGCGCCACAGTTTCTTATGAATGCATCTCATTAATATTAATTCTGTGTTATCTAATTTTCTCCTATAAATGAGTAGTGTATAATCCCCCCAACCTCAGGCAGGCTAAGGTGTTGTGAGTGGTCGCATTTCAAATGCAAGTTCAAGTCATCTGACTTTGGATTTGACTGGTAAGGAACATGGGCACTGGAAAACAGCTAACTCGGGTGAAGGTGCAGCGGCCCAGGCTCCACCTCTCTCTGGTAACTGCTTCACAGCTGTCACGTGCTATGAAGGGTCTTGGGGGCTTCCGCAACCTCAGTCATACCAGGGCTTCCAAAGGTAAGCAAGAAGCAGTCACTCACCGTGGTGTGAGAACACGGCATGCACATGGATGGTGGCGAGGCTGACTGGGTTGGGTCCCCCAATGCCTCATTCACTGAGCAACTGTGTTTTGTGAACGTCGAGAGCAAAGTCACCAGGTCCTAGTGCCTAACTAGCTTCCATGCTCAGCTACCAGATGGGCTCACTGGGCATGGCAGGAGCTGCATGAAGACCTGGCACCTTCATGCTAGGTGACTGAGAACATCGGGAAGGAGCCCACGGGACTTGAACACCACATCACGCGTCCCCGCGAGACTGCACATCAGGCGCCATCCTGAGGCTCTCAGGTGTGGGTGGCTTGAGAGGGCAGACCACGCGCCCGCCTCCTTTCCCACAAATCCAACGCTCTCGAATCAAAGGCATTCTATTTCTTTCTAACTTGCCACATTCAAAAAGTCTTGAAGTGACTCTAAGGAATGACAAGGGGCATAAAACCTCTTTTTTTCTTAAAAAAATTTTTAAGGTTCATTATTTCTTCTGTTGTCTGATTACAAAAGCAAAACCTCTTTTTTGAGTCTTTGGAGACCACAAAGTATGATTTCTAAGAACAAACATTTTAACATCAGCTCTGTATGTCTCACTACAAAAAGAACCCATTACTGATTAAGACCTACTCGTGATACTGAAGCAGATTTTTAAAATTAAAAGATAAAAGTAGTCATTTTAAAGGGAGGAATAGTAGATAAACATGGAACAATTCATTCACAAAGGCCATTGTTGCCCGTTTTCTCAAATAGTTTTATGCAATAAAATAGAAAATGAGTGACCTGTAGAGACGTGCATAAAGTCGAGGTCTACAGAAGGGAAAACTGTTCTCCCAATTCAAATCAAGAAACCGAGAAACACCCGAATCTGTGTTTCACATATCAGAAAAACAGATCGAAATGGTTCTAATTACCATTCGCGTGTTAATGTCTTCATCTCCCAGATGCTGCCAAGACAGCACACAACTTCACCTCTGAATATGCAACTCAACTCAGGGTAACAGACAAATAGTCCTGACTTATGACCGCACGTGTTCCGTAGAGAAATCAGAAGGAAATGACCGCAAATATATAAGCCCATCTGTCCAGCAAATGAAACGTTCTGAGACAAAGGAGATAGACGTAAGAACGGAAAGTGAACACGAAGGATGAGCATAGAAGTGTCAACTGCGAGACCTCATGAAGACAGAATGTCACAGACTGTCACCACAGGACAAGCACACAAGCCATGCCACTGACACAGTGCCTTTCATATAATTCACTAGTGTAGGCGGAGAGCAACATTGTCTTTGCAGCTGGAGGAGAGCACACGGTGTGGAACTTGGTAGGAGGCAGCCAGCACTACTGGTGGAGTGGCTTTCCTGGTGGAGGGAACCCAGCGGGGTCCGTGAGACGGCTTCTTCTGGAACCCCGTTCTCTTGGAAGGTAGCAGCAGCAGCAAAGGTACAATGTCCTCTACTAGACCTTACTCATCTATGCTCTCTTTCTTCGCGCTGTAAATATTCTGCACCGTTTCATAGACAGACTCCAGATCCTCTGGGTATCGGATCTCCAGCTCTGCATTTGGGATGTAGTGCGTGCCAGTAAACTCTGAGAAATAGCGTCCCACATCAGGGTGCGAGATTTCTTGCGGCTCCACGTTATATTCCAAGTTTTCTGTGGGTAAAGAGGCATATGGACAATCTCGTTAAAAATGGAAATTTCTGTAGCACCTTTTATCCAGAGAGTGTCCCGTCATCCCTTTCAGGGGTACTTCAGAGGCAGAGCAGAAGGGAAGACTGAAGATGTGTACGGAACCAGGAGGAGGAACAGGAACGGCAGTGAGTGGCAGTTGGTAGCTGGGTCCCTCAAGAGCGCCACATGGAACGCAAGTCTTTTCCTAATCTGAGCAAGATGTCTGCCTCCAGCAAAACTCAACAGTCTCTTGGAGACTGGCAAGCCACAGACTCATGTCTCCGATTCGACCTGACAAGCAGCTGGAAGTACGGGACAAGACTCTCCCTGCCCACTCGCTTCTCGCCTAGGGTACCAAGTCCTGTCCCCGCTGTCCTCCATGTCTATCGGCAGGAGCCACCCAGAGCCCACACTCTCCAGGAGCTCCTTCCACACCGTGTGCGCTTCCCAAGGCCAGCCCCCCACAGGGCTGCTGTGAGCCTGGGAGGATGAATGGACAGTGGTCGGCACCTCTTGATTCCACTATGGCTATCTGTGTCAACTCCTAGAAATCATGCTACCCCTTCTCCCTGCTCTGTTTTGCCACCAGAGAAATAGAAAATAAGAGCCTTGAAAATGGAATAACAAAAAAGATAATATACATAAGGCACCCAAAAGGTTGAAGTCCTTTCACAGCTCCTGCTGCCCCAAGACAGTCTAAGCAAGGTTCCCCCACATTTCATCCCAATGAAAGCACAGGTTTCTGTGCACCCTTCCTTACTGGCCACAGAGGCTGGTCCAAGACTGAGAGTGGCCCTAACCCAGAAGCCCAGTGCATACCCCATGACCTGGCACCAGAAGGGAGCTGGGCAGGGCAGAGTCTCCCACGGAGCACTGGCCCCATTCAATATGACCATTCTCTGCACACTTGTCCCTCGGATTAATTCAAGTGAGTCTCTGGGGAGGGCCATTCAAGGCTCACCAACACAAACAGTGCAGCATATTACTTCTTAAACAGCCTGGCTACACATCCCTAAATATAATGCTTCTGGATGCCCTGTACCCCCAGGGACACAGGATAAATATGGCATCTTTCTGAAGCACCGACTTGTCTCTGACAAACTGACATTCATCTCTGGGGAGAACGGGAAAGATCTGTACAATTTAATCTGCAATTTTTTTAAAACCATAAAACAGGAGGATCTGAAGAAATTCTGTGCTAATATGTTGTGTTAGGCTGTTCCTTCACTGTGGGTAGGGATAAAACAGTACAAAAATCAATACTGCCAAGGAAATCACAGACAAATGCACAGAGATGAATGTACGGAGGTTACCTCAACAGTACTTGTGACAGAAAAAATGTGAAGGCAGTCTACATGTCCAAATGTAGGTCACTGTGGGAATAAATGGTGGCACATTAATTCAGCAAAATACCAGGCAGCCATGAAAGCGAGCAACTCATCCAAGGTCCCGCGGGGAAGGAGGAGTGAAAACACGTACTACTTAGAAGGCCTGGAGCGCCATTTACTGTGGGTTGCTCTGCTGTATGACACAGCCATGGAGTTTAAATGGGGCACTTCAATGTGCCAGGCGCTGCGGTAGCCTCCCAGGTGCACCCCACATAAGAGCCCAGAAGAAGCCCCTCACGATTCCCCTCTGCGGAGAGTGAGCTGTGGGCAGAGTGAGGAGCTGTCCAAGCATTCAGCCAGGACCCAGTCAGTTGCCCGAGCTTAGGGGACCCAGCATTTCTCAAACGTTAGAATTGGGGGAAAAAAATCAATAAATGCAAAAAAAAACCCCAAAACCGAACATACCAAGAGACAAAAAAAAAACCCCTACCTGTGTATCGAAATGCCACAGGCTGAGAAGACATCCTCTCCTATCCCATGCCACTGCCACTTCCCTCCCCACATCCAAGACAGGAATAACCAACCAGAGGTGGCACAGGCAGATTTTCCCTGGGGAGTTTTGCCCAGGCCAGCTGCCGAGTGCCCCTCGTTTGGACCTTCTTGCAGAGCTGTACAGAAATGCAAGAGGGAGGGCAGAGACTCTGCGGACACTACCAAGAGACAAAGCTCCTCTGCTCTAGCAGGAACACTGTTGCCTGTCAGTGGTAGGCAAGATGAAGATATTAAAGCAAAAGAAACTCAGGCAGGGAACTCAGAATAACTGCTTCGTTGCCGGTGTGTCTTGAGCTGTCTTTCTCAACAGGGGGCTCTTTTGCCCCCAAAGGGACACGTAGCAAGGTCTGAAGACATTTTTGGTTGTCATGACTGAGAGCCAATATTACTGGCTGCTAGTGGGCAGAGGCCACGGATGCTGCCAAACATCCTACAGTGCATGGGACAGCCTGCTACAAGGAATTATCTAGACCCAAATATTGCTGGAAGCTTAGTCCCCTGTATTAGCACTACTTCTTTCCCTTCTTTTCTCTCCATGTATTTTGCAGCAGCTTGGTGTGGTGATATATAGCTCCTGTTCAGAGAAGGGAGGAAAGTCAAACTCAGGTTATTGCCCACAGATCTGCCAGGACAGCACGACCCGACAGCTGAAGCACCAATTCTGAGTGTGGGTCCAAAACAAGAGGCGAGAGAAGTCCAGGCAAGAACGCTGGGAAATGCTAAGAGGTAAATGACAATCTTCAAGGTGCTCATGGCCACTCTGGCTGTTAGAGTGGAACCAGGCTGGGTCACCTGTCTGGGCTGCTAGCTTGTTAAGGAGCAAAACAGGAAAAAAATTTTAAGAAGAAGATTAGACAGTGAAATTGGCAACTGTTTATAATGAAAGGAAAATAAATAACCAATCCACTAAGAGAGTTTTCAACAACTTTAAGAGGAATGATGAATCTAAGCAATATAAAACAACGGAATAAAACACAAACCAGAAACTGCTTCAGTGTTCTGGAAAATCCTGAGAAATCCTTCTAGATTTCCTTGAAGTCTTCAGAGAAATATATCTGCTTTTTAAAACAGTTTCAGCTACCCAAAAGTATATGAATAAGTACTATGGGAACACACCTGTGAGTTTTCCGCATCCTGTCCTGGTCTTGTCCCCTCCTCCCTCCTGAGAAGAAACCACCATTGGTGTGTCTTCCTAGTCCTTCTATGAGCACAAACATAGGTACCCAAATATCTTTTACATACTTAAAATTTGGTATTGTTTCATGTTGATTTATACAAAACATACTCTAAACATCAGCTGCAACTGGCTTACTGAACTGCACAGACCCCAACCTACCAGGTGTGTCCTTATGAATGACACCTGTCTGCTATCTTAACAAGGGGACCACAGGCCCTTGTATACACATGGCGGGACTGAAGTGGGACTATGAGACAGGGAGATGATGAGCACTTGAGAGGTTTACAATCTGCAAGACTGCCACGACACCCTCTGAAATGGCTGTGCCCCTTCACACCCCACCCTGACGCATGGGCTCCCCACCCACTTCTCTATACTTGCCAGCATGGGCAGATGGCCATGAACTGAAAGTGGAGTGGAGGCTGGGGGCATATGGGTGGGGAGATGAGTGTGGAAGTGTAAGATTAATTATGAAAGAGGAAGCTGACACCTGGCGAGGACACACCATGGGTGAGCTATTCTACAAGGCGCTGTATTGTGGCAGACAAAACCCAACGAGACCAGGATTTTCACAAGGCAGCTGAGTTCAAGAGCCTTCCAACATGGGTGGCTGACCTAGATTTGGGCATCTGTGATACTTTCTCTTGTGTCTGAGAAGCACGTATGGAGGTTGGGACAGGAATCCCTGCCCTCCTACCTAGTGCCAAGTAAGTATTAAAGCCTGCCCCCTAGTGGGAACAAAAACTTGTACATACGCAAGATGCTGTATATTCCCCCACCATTAATAGGCTTTAGGTGAAATCTAACATACTAAGGAAAGAATCCACTGAACTGTGCAAACTAAAACTATCAGAAGGTATCATATGTGTATGTGGCTTATAATTCACTCTCAACTCTCTGTGGACAGCTAATAATTGGAAAAGCATCATGAATGGGTTCTACCCAGGTTCACAGGATCACTGGAGCCAAGGATTAAAAATTAAGATCAAGAAAATTTTACAAAGAAAATAAATTTAATAAAAATGAAGTAATCCAGAAATGCTCAAAGGAATATATAAATAAATGTTTTTAAAATTTAGTCTCTTGGCCAGGCATGGTGGCTCAAGCCTGTAATTCCAGCACTTTGAGAGGCGGAGGCAGGAGGATCACTTGAAGCCAGGAGTTTGAGACCAGCCTGGACAACATAGTAAGACCTCACTGCTACAAAAAAAATAAAAAAAATTAGCCAGGTATGGTAGTATGCATCTGTAGTCCCAGCTACTCGAGAGGCTGAGACAGAAGGATTTCCTGAGCCCAGAAATTTAAGGCTGCTGTGACTATGCCAGTATACTCCAAGTCTGGGTGACAGAGTAAGAGCCCAACTCAAAAAAAAAAAAAAAAAAAAGCTTACCCTCTCAAGTCTCCCACCTGCAAAACATGGGCTAATGTAAAAAACAGAATTGTTTTGCATGATTATAACATATTGAATAAATAAAAACCCAGGAATCCATGGTTACAGGAGGGCTGCAGGGCAGAAGAGAGAAGGAGAGGGGAAAGAGAGAGGCAGGGAAGGAGGAAATCTCTTGTCCACGGTATAGAGAGATTAACAGCAGCAGAAAATCACCATTCTGCAATTCTCATGCAACAGGCAAGTCTATTCCATAGTGCTAAACAAATCCCGTGTGAAAGGTCATCAGGGAACAGGACAGTCACAAGATGTCACAGTGTGACCCCATGGGTTCCTCGGTAACTGAAAAGGGAGAACAATCGCTTACAGCGAGTCACTATCTGAGCCAAGTGACCAACTCAGCTTCACCAACAGCGGGACACTGAACTGACGTTCAGTATCTTTCACAGAGACCTTCGCCCTGATCTAAACAATCCTCAGATTTCACCCCAGCTGACGGACAACAGGACGAATCCAGAATGTCAGGTAATTTACAAGAAATCAGTCTGGACTCTTCGAAAAGTCGGAGTCATATAAAAAAGGGGAAAAAAGGATGAAGCATGAGGAGCTGCCTTAAATAAGAGACACTGAAGAGAAACAACCCCAGAGCTGCGGCGCAGGAACCCTGGATGCATCCTGATTGTCAAAACAACCACCAAAGATACAGAAGTTATTTTTGTGACAACTGGGGAGTCTGAAAACTGACTATTAGCTTTTATAAAATAACTATAATTTATTAGGTGTGATAATGAACTGTGGTAATGCAGAGAAATGTCCTTATTCCTAGAAGATGCATGATTAAGTATTTAGGTCATGATATCTGCGTTATTCAAATGGTGCAGATGCCCCAGAAGGGCTGTTACAAGGAGGACATGGAGCCCAGGAGAGCTCGGGATGGAAGCATGGCTTTGGGGATCGCCAGCACATAAAGTTAACATGGCCGCAGGGCAAAGGAGGTGGGCCAGAGGACAATCCCACAGAGAAAGGAGATACTGAAGAGTTATACATCAGGCATGTTGGGGAAGGTGTGAGGAGCTCCTCTTCAACCCTGTGCCTACGCTCAGCACATAGCAGACCCCCAGGCAGCACTGACTGCCCAAGTCCCAGGACTGCTAGCAGAAGCTGGAAGTTACCAAGCGTGGTAAATGCTCTGCAGAACAGGCCACTGCTAACATGACCCAGTCATTTAGTTCCACCTCAGTAAGACTGACAACCAGAGACTACATTTATTTTTCAAGGTCCCTCAGTATTATGACTGAAATCTCACATTGCATGTGCACTTAGAAATGATTCGAGATGAATTTCTGAATCTTCAAATTGGACGGTGAACAAGTTCAGAACAGCTAAAAGAAAACACTTTTAGCTACTAAAAAGCCCATTTCAAAGTCAACATAAATGTTTCCAGACACTCAAATGTCAAATATTAAAAGTCTTACTAGCAGCCCTATACATGGACAATGCTTGCACGTGGTGGAGCCACAGACACAGGCCCACAGTTCTTGTGACACACTACGTGATGTAGAGCATAAAGTGTTTACCAAGTGACTCACAGTGGTACAAACAGTCCAGGACACTGTTATTTCCAAATCATCTGATTTTTAGAAAGTGTTATTTTTTTTTAATCAATATTTTTTATTTTGATATTGTGGGTTACAGTTAAGGGTTAGGTATACAAATACATTTCATTCAGGCACCCTTGTTGATAAGGGGTGTCTCCTTTGTGTTCTTATTTTTAATTTGACACAGCTTTAAAAGCTAAACAACATCCCTGCCAGGCCATCAGAGCCTCCAGCTGACACGGGAGCACACTGGCCTCTATCTACCTTCCTCATCACACCAACAGAGGCGAGGCAGCCTACAGGTGCAGTCAACACACTTCTCCTGGTGTCGTTGTTACAGGGGATGACCTTAGCTGCTGATGAACTGACAGTAATTCACATGAGAACTTTTCCAGTCTTCTTGAAACTTCTGAGATTACTGGGTTTATCAGAACATAATCTTCAGTTAGGTCAAACCTAATACTTGAGGCCAGACATGGAAAGGTATGGCACGATGGTTAAGGAGGAGGCTCCCTGCCAAGCTGCCTGACTTTACATTCACATTCTGCAAGTTAAAATTTAAATGGCTTCCATGTGCCTCGATCTCATCTAGAAAATGGGAATGATGGTTCTCAAAGGGAGTTAATACATAAGAGAACACTGCCTGTCACAGGCAGCACTATGATAGCATTCAGCTTTGTCTTTATTAATAACTAATGTGAATGCCTTGACAGTCAGGCATACAATGGATTTATCCCATTAAGAGGAGGTGAAATTCAACAAGGACAAAGACAAGGAAGACACACTGAAAGCATTCTTGTCTCTAACTTGCCTCCACAGGCTCTGCCAGTCCCCACCTTCGATCTGCCCTGGGCCAGCACTTGCCAGGGCTGGCAGTGGCCCCAAACACTGCAAACACCTGCTGAAGCTCTCTCAGGTGCTCTTAGAGCCAGTGCTGCAGACAGTGGTTCCCACAAGTGGCCACATGAGGGCGTCTCTGGGGAGGCACAGCTACTAGCCACAGCCTCAGGAGGCCAGAGGGTGCCAGGGTGCTCCCAAGTGTCCACTTGGTACCCTTCAGTTAAAGCAGGTGATGTGGGCAGGGCACAAGCTGGCCCTCCCTGTCTGGGAGGAACTAATGGAAGGGTCTAGGAGGCAGGGCTTTCAGAAATCTGAGAGGCAGAGATAGTGGCCAATCAGATTAGAGATTGGCAATAGCACTGGATTAGGGTCCCGGTGGGGATGAGGGAGATCCTTTTGGGCAGAGTTTGTGTGACTATCTAACCCCTGATGTTTCGGCACCAGTGCATACCCACCCATGTTTAGCCATTTATCAGCCCTGATGAGGTTAGCCCTGAGACAACTGCCATCTCTGAATATACTGAAGTGCTCAAATGTGTGCTTAAAATACGCTAAGTATCATTAAAGGTGCAAACAGAACCAGTCACTTACCTTGGGCTGCGTATCTACAAGAGCCATCCTCCACCAGAACATTATAGAAAGGCTGATGGTGGCCGTGAGGCAGGCTGTGGACGTTCATGTTCCGGATCCATTCGTGTCCCATCATGCAGGTGGGGTCCCAACCATAGATCACACAGTTATATCCATACCTAATTAACATAAGAGGCAGGCAAGTCAATGTAGGGACCTTGTTCCACAACTGTGAAATGTGTAGACCACGGCTTGGTTCTCTTAAGCTCACATTCTCACATACTCACTGACTGGCTTTTACTTTATAATGAATCATTCTTCAGGATACTCCTGACCCCTATTACCAGCACACACTTCATTAGGAAAAGAAAAACGTTCCAACAGAGAGTATTGGGACAACAACTGTTATCCAAACAGAAAAGGCAGTGGGCTCTGGCTTGACAACAACCCACATGAAAAATATTCAAATTCTAAAACGTAAAATACCTTTATAACCCAAGATAGGGAAAGATTTCTTAAAACAAGGCACAAAAAATATATTCCATAAAGGAAAAGACTACCCAGTTTGGCATCATTAAACTAAGAGATTAATAAACTCTGATTCAAACATTAAAAAATACAGGTCAACTGGGGAAACATGAACTCTGATTAGATACCAGATGAGGTTATGGAATTGGTTTTTTTTTTTGAGTTGGAGTCTCACTTTGTCATCCAGACTGGAGTGCAGTGGCCGCTCCCGGCCACCGCAAACTCGACCTGCTGGGCCCCGGCGATCCTTCCGCCTCAGCCTTCCGAGTAGCCAGAATTACAGGCATGCACTACCACGCCCGGCTGATTTTTTGATTTATTGCAGAGATGAGGTCTCGCTGCCCAGGCGGGTCTCAAACCCACGGGCTCAGGCAATCCACTCACCTCAGCCTCCCAAAGGCGCGGGATTACAGGCTGAGCCACCGAGCCCGGCTTGGAATTGGTTTTTTTTTTTACATGTGATAGGATGGTAAATGTATTTTAAAAAAGAGAGTGAGAGTTTTTAGAGGCACACACTGAAATAGCTGCAGATGAAATGGCACCTGGTGTTTGCTTCAGTTAACCCAGGGCAGAGGCAGGGTGGGTAGAGGCAGTGTACACTACCCCTATCGCAGCAACTGCTGAGCTGGGTGACAGGAACATCACCTGGTTCATCAGACTTCTCACTCTCCTTTTAAAAATGCTTGAAAATTTCCATAATAAAGTGGTTTTTTTTAAAAGCTCACACTAAAAGAATGAAAAACACCAGCCAAACATGGAGAAAACACAACTAAGCCTCACAGAGAAACTAATATAAAGAATAAAAAACTCCTATAAATCAATGAGGAGGTATTTTTATTAATACCTCAATAAAAAATAAACAAAATACTTGAAGAGGCACTTAATAAAAGGAAACTTCCAGTAAATAATGAAAAGACCTCAACCTGCTTAGTAATGGGGAAACGTAAATTAAAACCACAATTAAAAACACCATTTGCCATTCCCACATAAGTACATTTTTAAAGTCTTGCAGTAACATTTGGCTCCTAGCCTGCTGGTGGGATGGATATAGTTTAATTTTCCCAGTAAACAGACCCTGTGCCTACCCACGACCTACAAATCCCTACCCCTACCCTCAACTCAGACTGAAGAGATCAGGATTAAGGACAAGAGAGGACGAACAATGAAGAAACAAGAGAAGAGACTCGGGGTTCACAGAGGTACTTTTACCCTTCTGCACAGAGAAAGGTCACCATCTAAAGGCCACTAAAAACATGAGACCATCTCTCAGCTACAAAGTGAGTCGCTGCTTTAAAACACGAAGGTCAAAGACACAGTTCAGCTTCCCATCTTTCCTGTGGTGGACACTCGGCGAACAAGCGACCAAAGACACCCCGTCGCCGCCTGCAGAGGCAGGCCCTCCTCCGCTGTGTCCTGAAGGCTTGAAGCGCACGTCTCCCCCGCAGCCCTCTGGATGGACACCGCAGGGCAGGCCGAGCGACCACACTCACCTCTTGTGCTTCATAATGAGCCCGATGGAGTAGCAGACATCCCTGTGCTTCTCATCGGAGCGCAGCTTCACCTCCACACCCACCTCCTCCTTTTTGCGCTCAATGTGCTCTAATGTGTGCTGCACCAGGTAGCCCACCGCCCCGTGCTGCCCTGGGTCTAGGGTCTGGATGTGCTGGAGGATGTCAAGCACCTTCAAGACAAGACAGAAAGACTAGGAGATAATATTTTAAGCTAGGCCTTTTCTTTTTCGCAGCACGGGATTTAGGCCTACCTACGTAACCTGAGAAAGGACAGCAGGGGGCCAGGTCTATCAGATGAACATCTAGGTCTCTGGGATGTTCTCTGACAGACTCTCATCTGGTCAGCGCCATGGATGCCCAGCGCTGGGGTGGATTCTAACACTGGCAGCTGGCCTGGGACATCCCAACTCAGTCAGTGTGAACTTAAGGAGCTATTTAGAAACCAGAATGCTGCCACCTGTGGCACGCTTGGATCAGATGGATTGAACAGGCCTAACGTTCTTGATCAGCCTGGGAACTACGGGAATCCCAATTTTCTAATCAAAGAAAATAAACTATTTTGACCTCCACTCAGGAATTCAGAAGGAAAAAAAAAAGTGCAATTGCTTTAATCAAGACCAAGAGGACGTTCTGACACAACTGCCTCAGTGCTGGATTAGGTGGACAGGGGTCATGGGAGGGCACCAAAGTGCAAGTTTGTCTAGTTTATGCTGTTACTCTAGAGGAAAGCCACGTGTACTGGGTTCTGAAATCTTGCTAGCGACTTTATGATTTTAACTCAGAATGGAATTCAGTAGCATAGGGTCTCTGACAAGTTTCTCCCTCCAATTACTGAGTCCTAAATTCCAGCCTGCTTGGTGAATAAAGCAACCTGGATTCTAGGCCCAGATCTGTCAGACTGTTTCTACCTTTGAATTCATTTCTTCACTTATCAGATGATGAATAATCACTGTCTCAGTGATTTTCTGATACCTTTTGAATCCACACAAGTGTTGTGAAAACTAGTTTGATGCAATGTAAGATATTATTATTCCAAAACCCAATCTTGTCTTCCAGATTGAGAGTTGGCGAGATCTCAAAGTCAACTGAACACTTAGTCTCCACTGGTCACTGTGCTAGGCCCATCACATTTTTTACTTCACTCAATTCTCTTAACTTGGAGGCCAGTAATTTCTTAACCTTCACATTGAAAGGATTCGGGGGTGGGGGGAGACCTTTAGTCACCACCAATTTCCAGCAGAGGAAAATCAGGCTTAGTGAAGGTAAGTAACTCGCCTGACGCCACAGGTTATATAGACAAGAGTAAGGCTGTGGCCCCAGGTCTGACGGTCAACCCTAGGTCTCACACACCATCACAATGGGACATGAGTAGGAGCATTTTAATTATCTACTATGAAAAGTTTTGAACACACGTAAGTGAACAGAACAGTATAACACAGGTACCCCAAACCCAGTTTCAGCAAGAACTGACTGACGTCAATCCCCATCCATGTCCCACCTCCATAGGGCACTCTGCACTCTGGGACACTAGAAGCATTTATCCCTTGGAGCTGAAAGCATCCTTCTTGAACAAGAGCTGTCTATGTACAGAGTCCGCACAATGCTGTCCTTGTGTACCAAGGTCCAACCGGCTACCCTATGTATCTCTCTGCTGTATTCCATGCGCACACTCCCCCTCCTTCCCCCTTTCCTAGCAGCCCTCCCCTCCCCCTGCACCAGATAAGCAAAACTGTCAGAACTTGGCATCTCCAGAGTACAAAGGAAGTCTAGATAAGGTTCAGGGATAAGCAGTCCCCTTCCCTGGATGAGCGGTTGAGGGTGAAGGAGAGGGCTGAGGCACAGAAGACACTGTGCTGCAAGGCCTGGTGTGTTCGCAAAGGGCAGTGCTGCCCGGCACTGTGTTGTACCCACCAAATGCTCTAGACCTAGAATGCCGAATGGCCACATCTTTTGGGGTAGAGATCTTAGGGGTCTATCACCCATTACACATGTCCCTATACTGCTTCCTTACTCTAGCCAAGGGATTGGCAGACTTTTCTATATAGGGCCAGAGAGAAAATAAGGCTCTGTGGGTCAAATGGTCTCTGACTCAACTATCCAACTCTGCTGCTGTAGCTTGAAAGAAGCAATAGACAATAAATAAACAATACAATTCATTCACAAAGGCAGCAGCTTTGGTCCACAGGCCGTAATTTGCTGACCCTTGCTCACTGGTCTGAATTCCAGATTTCCCCTAAGGCTCTCCCTGAAGCTCTTGCCTCTATTGTTTTGACATCCGCTTATCTGTGGGATGTCTACTTTTAGGGCTTCAGTTACCAGATGCTGATGCTGAGAGGCCCTGCCAAAGGCTAGGACATCTGTACTCAATGGCTCTACGTCAAAACAAATTCAACACACTCCAAACCAGTTCACTTTCTCTTATCCCCAATGCAGGCCTATTCTCTAAATACTCACTTTCCGAGTGGTACAAATTGTCCCCTTGTTAAAATACTTGGATATCCTCTTTGAGCTTTCTCTTTCATTCATATCTAACGAAGTTTGGACGTTTCTTAATCATTCATTAAAAAAACTTTGTGAGCACCTACTGTGGACCAAGAGTGGTACTAAAAGCACAGGGAACGGCTACAGCAGGGAATAAGGGAGGTGTGGTCCTTGTCCTTAAAGAAATTGGTCTTGTGGAGACGGATGACTGCACAGCAACTACCACAGACTCAGACAAAGTTCCATAAAGGGCAGGCACAGGCATGGTGAGAAGATACGACCTTGTTCTGCAGAGGGGCCAGAGAAGGGTGCTCCAAGGAAGTGGAAGTTCAGGGTGCCAGCCGGCATAAGTGAGCTGACAAATGGCACTGAGGAATCGATAAGGCATATGCACAGAGACATAGCCTGCGCAAGGGACTACAGCAAGATAGCAGGACGAGCAGAGGTGGCGGCGGTGCAGCAGGGTGCCAAGGGGGCAGGTGGGAGACGGGGATACTCAGGCAGGCCCAGACCACTGAGAACTTGTGAGCTATACTGAGGATTACGAGTCTGGTCTAGAAGGCAACAGGAGAGCTCCTCTGTGGGCTTTAGGCAATGAGGGGATATAACTGGTATTTTATGACGATTCCTCTGGCTCCCGTGTATACAGTGGTTCACAGGTTCCCAGTAGGAAGAAAAGGAGAACCAGCCGGGGGCCTGAGCACTACTCCAGGCTGAGAAGTGCTGTACTTAGTAGGCCAACTTTCATCTGCCTGGGGACAGAGTCACGCACAGGAGCATAGTAGATGTTTGGATATGTGGGTCTGGAGCCCAGGTTCAGGCAGGAGGTCAATGATAGGACAGCCAAGAGCGTACAGGTGGTAACTGAGGCAAGAAGGGAGAGAACTACAGGAAAAGTGCCAGGTAAAAGCTGAGAAACAACCTTCCATTGTACAGCCTTGTGGGAGAGACAGAGGACAAGGAACCATCGAGAGCGTGAGAACCAGAGACCACAGGGCGAAAGGGAACATGGTGTTTTGAGGGGGAAGTGACCCGCAGTGATCAAGAAAGATAAAGAAAGAAAGTAGCTACTGGATTTAGCACCAGGGAGCATGGTCTCAGCAGAAAGGAGTCACTGGCTTCTTGGCAGGCACAGTGGCCATGGAGGGGGGAATGATCCCCGTTATGGGAAGTGAGTAGGAGGCTGCATGGGCATTGTTGCACAGTGTGAGGATTTTAACTGTGCAAGGAGGAGAGAGAAGGCAGTGGCCGTAAGGAAACACCTGCAGGGCAGACACGGAGTGCTTTTTGTTCTTTCAAAAGAAGAAAGGGAGGTTTGCCTTGGAATACTGGAGGGGTAGCTTTTCCCCAGAAATGTAGAAAGGGAGAAAGAAAAACTATGGACTGAAATGAGGACACAGGTCTGCTGGCAGGAAGCAATCAGTGGCTGTCTGTTGGCTTCTTGCTGTACCATGGGATGAAACACAGCTGGGCTTGGGCCCACCCTGCCCACGCCGAGCTCCTGGTGCCATCCACACACGTGCAAGAGGCCTTGGCAAGTTAAATAGATTGCCAATTGTTTCATTATTGGCAAAATTGTAAAAATAAAAACAGTATCTACCCTCTAGGGCTGCTGAGAAGATGGAAGGAGACATTTAACAAGTACTAGTGATTTTTAAGAATCTGACCCTCCTATGTTCTCTATTTCCGTCACAGGCATAAAGACCCCGGATTAAGGCGACAGTGACCCAAGAGGGCTTGTGTTTCTTTTCTTTTCTTTTTTTTTGAGTTGGAGTCTCACTCTGTCGCCCAGACTGGAGTGCAGTGGCCGCTCCCAGCCACCGCAGCCTTGACCTGCTGGGCTCCGGCGATCCTTCCACCTCAGCCTTCCGAGTAGCCGGAATTACAGGCATGTGCTACCACGCCTGGCTGAATTTTTGATTTTTTTATTGTAGAGATGAGGTCTCGCTGCCCAGGCGGGTCTCGAACCCGCGGGCTCAGGCAATCCACTCACCTCAGCCACCCAAAGGCGCGGGATTACAGGCTGAGCCACCGAGCCCGGCTAGGGGGCTTGTGTTTCTAAGCTCTTCCTGATATAATTCAATTAAAAACAAGGCAACCTTCAGGTTTTCCCAGCTTTGGAATGTTTCCCTCTCACTTGGTAAAGTCGGAGTCCCCCACAAGCTGGTCTCACACCCCCCAAATGTTACACTCACATGGACGTACATATGCACAAGCCCACATAACCATCTGTGTATGCACACAAACATTGGCACATGCATAAGCACACAGCCCTTGCTAGGCTGACCTCTGCAGACACCATGCTCTCTGTCTCTATGCCACACGAGCTGCTCCCACCCACTGGAGAAAAACACTTTTCTGCACTCTGAAATTGTTTCTCATCCTTCAAGGTCACACCTCAAACCTTCCTCTGGAGAGGAACCTTGTCTCGTTTTCTAAGCACTACCTGAATTCTTCCTCACTGGGAGTCCCGTGGTTTGCCTTTGCCATCTCAGGGTCCCTCGCTCGGTTACCTGCGTATTGAGGGGAGGGAAGTGTGTGCTGGGAAGGAGCCACTTTTCTCTCCTAATCCACACTGAGGTTCTTGACCCCAGCAGCAAATATCACGAGGGAAAATGTCCTCAAGCATGACAATTCTGGACCTTGTCCTAGTGATGCTGCTCATGCTAAGGAAGACACTGAAGTGAACCAGTTGGAGAAGGTACGAACATGGGGCTGCTGCATATGCCCCCTCCAGTGGGGATGCTAACAGTGCAACTTCCAGGCTGACCCATGACTTAGCTACAGAATTTAAATGTAAAGAACCTTGCTTTCCTCTGCATTTCACTAATTTTCATGAAATTTCTTCACAAACCTAAAGTAAAATGTGACAGGCATTAGTTATGGACATCCTGGTATCAAAATTACATGAATAAAAGGAAAAAATTTAAAAAGGCGATGAAATCCTGGACAAGAAAGCTGTAGAAGTGAGTGGTCACTCTGATGAAGGCTACCAATCTAACTCCTCTACCACATTATGTGCATGTCTGGGAAGGCATCTGATATTTAGTTACAGATGACATCTTTTCTTAAAACAGAAGTCTTGGAATTTTCCCATTGATTCGTTCTTTCTTAGAACTCTCCTAGATCTTTGAAATTATGAATTAATGAGAAAATTTTAATGTAAGCAATGTAGAGTCATTTAGAATATTTACTCTTTCAAGGAAGATTTTACCCCTCTCTAATAACATTATGCTGATGGCCCTGTAAGAGCTCAGTATTACATTCTCTCACCAAGCTGTTCTAAACAAACAAAATTAACACATTTTCAGAGAAAACCAAGGGCGTGATGGGGGCATGATGGGAGTGGGAGTGCACAGCTGGCTCCTGCATCATGACACACAACCAGGTCTCTCTTGGACTGTGTCCAGAGACTGAGAGCAGCTCTGATCCCAACACTGTGGTCTTCTGAAAGTGCTGCTGGCCAAAAGGGGCTGTTATAAAACTGAGAAATTTCAAGTGGAATAGTCAAAATTCCATGGTTTTCAAAACAAAACCAATCCTTATCTAGTCCCATGACTGAACTTGAACACACCTAACATCCAATTTTCTCATGTCAAACAAGGGTATTTATCTATGGCCTACGTAGTAGCTAACAGCACAGCTGGAGGCCGACCATTCACAACTTTGTTTCCCCTTGGTGAATAGGGGTGACTGAGAAAAATAATCTTGGGGTCTCAGGGGTGAGTGGCAGGGTGTAGTTTTGGGATTTAGAAGCCAACCACAAAGAGAACAGGCAATTCCTGGCAGCAGAACTGATTTTCCTTAGAAAACGAGGAGAAAAAAAAAATCTAACTGGTAGGTCAAGATTTGAAGACTTTGAATACACTTGTGCTTATTCTCCATGTTAATACAAGGATAAGCTTGCCACAGCCGCCTTTCAATCCAAGCCTTCCCTTTCTAAGGCAAGTGCAGAGCATCAAAGTCAAATAGTTACCTTCTCTGGCCAGATTCCCAGGTGGAAGTAAAGCCGAGCTTGGAGGAGAAGAAGCTGCACCTGGTCTGGGTACATGGCCAAATACAGATCCAACGAGTCTCTCAGGAGCTGGTATGACTGGTCGATGCCTTCCCTAGCAGAGAAAAAGTCATCTTTGTCTTACTCTGTTTGCTTTTTAGCTAAGACTCTCTTTTTCAAGGTCCAGATTTTAAAAACAATTGACACAAATCCCAAATGATTTCTGATTCTGATATTTCCTTCTTATTTAGCAGAGAGATACAATGCTCTTATAAAACACAATAATATAAATCTTGTACCCCACTTTGGTGATGGGCACTAAATGAAAATCAAAAAGCATTTTTTAAAATCAGGTAGTCACCTCAATAACAGTGTACATAATTAAAAATAAATTCTGACTAGGCTGAGCACAGAGGATATTTTTGGCAGAGAAACTCTTCTGTATGATGTTATAATGGTGGATACATGTCATTATGTATTTGTCCAAACCCACAGAATATACACCACCAAGAGTGAACCCTAATGGACTCTGGGCGAGAAGGCTGTGTCAGTGCAGGTCTACTGGTTGTAATGAATGTACCACTCTGGTGCAGGATGTTGATAGTTGGGAGGTATCATGGGGGGATATGGGAACTCTCTGTACTTTCTGCTCAATTTTTCTGTCAACCTAAAGCAGCTCTAAAAAACAAAGTATTTTTAAAAAAATTCTGTCATTAGAAAACTATTACTATAATCTAGAGCCTACAACTTTCATTTTCCCTATAGGACAAATTTCCTTGGAGTCAGAAGCAAGACCATTTCATTCCTTTGTTTTCTTATCTAAAGGATAGAAAGGCATAAATTAAAAGATGGCAAAGCATTTGGACACGAGAACATCCTGCCTCTGAAAAATAATCTTTGCCAGTTTAAGATATTCTTGTTACTGAAAAGTGCTTGCAGTATTTACAAAGAGAAGGCTCCATGTCCACAGCAAAGATCTCAGAGAAGAGTCACTTAGCACATCTCAACCACAATTCGAGCCTCTCAACACTCTACAGAAGAACCAAAAGCCAAGAAAACCTTACCGCTTCCCCAGGCTTAACAGGTTTCCCACCATTCTCTGCAGCACCTTCTTAACATTGACCACCCCGTATAGTGCGGCAGTCACGTGCTGGCCGATCAAGTATTCACACTCTTTGACTGTCAGCTGCTTGCCTTTCCCAAAGGCGTCTATGTAGATGTAGTCGAAGATGTCCAGGGTTGCCCTATTCGAAGAGTCAAACCTCAGATGAGAGCAGAACAATGCAGCATTTCAAATCTTCACAGTAAGTAGCTCAAATCAGAGGCTGGATGTTGAAAACAGTTAACATTTCTACTCCGGATATCAAGGCCTTGTCCAAAGTGTAAACCAACACCCTGCTCTGTCAAGATCACAACACACTGAATTTAAGAAAGAGCATTGATGTATGCCATCTAATAGAGATTTTTAGGAAGATAAATCTTAAAAGCCACGGCCAGAAATAACCATCAGAGTTCAGTTAAGAAAGATTTACGAACTGCCCAAGGTCAACTATTAATCTCACAGACTAGTAGTAGTTAATCATCTGTGAATCTGATGAAAGCTATGGTACCTCACACAGGATTAGACCCTCAGTTCTGCTGATGAACTTGGATGGTCAGAGAGCTACTGGGCCCATCATGGCCTCAAGCTGGAACCCTGTGCTAGCACACAAAGAGAGCTGTGCCCTGGACTTCATCATATAACTCTTTTGCAGGACCACCTTCTGTGGACTGCACTCATGGCAAGCGTGTACACTGGGACTGGCTCATGCTGAGTAGTGAGCTGCAGTCACATGACACAAGCTATTGCTGCCCTGCTAGGAGCGCTCTCTGTGAGACTTCATGGAAGGAATTAGGTGGCTCTTTGTTTTAGGGATAGTTATGTTTCTCAGGAGCAATTGTTTCACCTTGATATTATACCCACTGCACCTTGACATTATACCCACTGTGAATCATGTAGCAGATTTTTTCTTTGGCTGCTAAAAAAGTCCAGTCAGATTTCTTCCTTGAACTGTATTTTATAGCCCACCTTTAGCAAGGATGTAAGACTTACATAAACGTTCTAGAAACAAGGAACTCTTCAACTCTTTATGAGGCTAGAACAAATACACAACAATTATAGGCCAAAATCATTTATGAGCATAAATGCAAAAATCCTGGAAAGTATGAATAAATCAAATGGAGCAATGTAATTTAAAATGTGATTAAATTAGATGTACCCCAAGAATAAAAAAGTCAAACATCTAAAAATCATTATCTGCACATATAAACTAAAAGAGAAAATAACACATAATCATGAGGGAACGTAGAAAAAAAATTTTCAAAAAAAAAAATCTAATGTCTAGCTATAATAAAACTCTTAGCAAACTAGAAATTTAGGTAATAGCTTTCATACTCCCAATGAAAGGTGCTTCCCTCAAAAATAGCTTGCTGGTGAAATTTCTGAGATAAGGTCTTTGCTATGTTGCCCAGGCTGGCCTCAAGCTCCTGGGTTCAAGCGATCTTCCTGCCTCGTCTCCCAGCAGCTGGGATTGCAGGTGTGTGCCACTGTGCCCAGCTTTGAAATTTTAAAAGCATTCCATTTAGTCATAGCCAAGGCAAAGGTGCCTGCTATCTTTGTTTCTATTCAATTTTGTACAAAAGCCAGCAAAGTAAGATAAGAAAAAGAAACAAATACATAAGGGCTAGAAACAAAAAAAATCTGTCACTATTCAGACACTACGATTATCCACATAGGAAAGTCCCAAATTTACAAATTATTAGCACTAATGATTTATTCAGAAAAGGTAATGAATATGAAATCCAGATCTAAATATCAACCTCCTCCCTCTGTACCATCAATACTCAGAAAGTAATTTTAAAAATTATCACTACAGTAGTTAAAAAATTTAAGGCACCTAAGAATAAATCTATCAAGATGTTAACTTCATAAAAGGATAAAATCTTCTTAAGGACACTAAAGATGACCTAAATAAATGGCAAGGTCCATGTTTATAAAAAGCTTCAATAGTAAGACACTGGCAACATCCCTCATGTTAATCTGGAACTCTAAACCAAAGTAATCGCTAATCTAACGTCTAGCTATAATAAAACTCTTAGCAAACTAGAGTTTTATTATAGCTAGACGTTAGATTGGCGATTACTTTGGCTCCAATCAATATCCACACAGGATTTCTGAGGAACCTAGTAAGCTGTTCTAAATCTACATGGAACAGCAAAAGCTAAAAACAGCCAAGGCAATTTTGAAGAAGTAGATGGGGTCTCCATTCCACCAGACATCAGGGATAACTAAACAATTATGGTTCTTCAGACAATATGGTCATGGCACAGGGACAGAGAAACGAGACCAAAGGCAGAGAGCCGAAAAAGGACAGGGAAGGCCCACAGCCAACACCTCCGGCCTTTTCCCTCAGGGCTCTGAGGCCTTTATGGGGTTCAGTGCTTGTTTTTGCCACATGGCTAGGGCATTTGCAAATTATCTCATTGTTCATCTATATTATAGTATATGTTCAGTGTAGCCCTAGAAGGAAAAATGATGCTGCACACAACCCTACCCTGTAATAAGTTACTGTAGCAAATAAAATGGCAATTGGTATTTTCAATGCTTTACACTATAAATCCTTGGTGGATTATTACAGAAGCATTTAAGAATACAGATATTTGGGGAGACTGGTTGAGTAATTTGGGGAGAAGATGTGGGCTGGAAAATCATTTTTCCCATTTAAAATAATGGAAAACAAGTACCCACTATTCATACATTAAACCATTCAGTACATTTTTAGGAAAAAGTATTTGGAAAACAAGGGAAACCTGTAGAGTTATTTAAGAAAATATCTATATGTAATAAACTATAAAAATGTGCATACTCCACATTGTCTAGTGGTTAAGGAACAATAAAAAAATTAAATAAAGCATCTTAAAAAATTTTGTATGAAATATCAAATACTTTCAAACTAACCAGTGGTTACCTGTGGAGTGCAGAGGCAGGAGAAAGAGATAGGAAAGACCCAGGAGGCTTCAACTACACACATCATGCTTTATTTCTTACACCAGGAGGTAGACATGCAGAGACCAATTGTTTTTTCTATGCAGCATCAGACATGCTCCTAGGTGGGTAATACACTGGGCGATCTCATTTAATCTCCCAAGCCACTTTATGAAAAACACTAACTCCACTTTACAAAGGAAGAAATTGAGGCTCAGAGAAAGCCAAAAGTTTGAACCCAGTCTGACTTTAAAGCTCTGTGACTTTCTATTATACTGTTTATCACTTCACCAAAGGGTGTCATAGTTAATCATTAAGAAGTTGTTTTAAAGAACAGGATATATGTAAATAGCCTTTCCCCTGCCCCAAATAGCAGACTTAATGAGAAGATTTCTACCTATTTGATAAACTGTTTCTTTCAGAAAAGCTAGACTATAACTGAAAAGGAGCTTTTTGCTCTGAGATACCAGGTTTAAAAAAGAGAACAAAAGAGAACTCCAATAGCCAGATCTCTGAAATTCATCTCAGTCATCAACTCTGCCTAAAGGGGACTTGGCTGCCTTGCTGATTCTCTCCCTCTCCCACACATCCATGTGGGAAGGAGGGGGAGATTTTCTGAGAGAAGGCAAAATAAGAGTTTCTTTACAAACTCTTTGATTTCATCTGCTTTGGAACAAAGGGATTCTGAGAGCCACTAAGACCTTGAAGTCCTAGTTCTATTTTTTTAAATTAAACGTTTTATTTTGTGATAACTGTAGATTCACACATGTAGTTCTAAGAAATACAGAAAGAGCTAGAGTATCCCTCACCCAGTCTTCCCTGATGCTAACATCTTAGGTAACTATAATACAATAACACAACCACAATACTGACATTCACAGAGTCAGGAAACAAAACTGTTCCATCACCACTCTAGTCCTATTTTTAACCTCTGGTTACACCTAACTTACTACTGAAAATCAGGCGTTTTCAGCACAGGGGACAATCTTCAGGACCAATTATAACATGTCATAGATGCTTACCCTTCTGCACCTTGGCACCACCTTAATAAGAAGTGACTTGGGAAGTTGACAGGTTCCAATGGGACTCCCAACTGCCGGGCAATTGTCAGATAGAGCAGAGACATGCTGATTGGGATTCCTGTTCTGCGGATCAAAACCTAAAGGGAGAAAAACGTGTGTGGTTTATGGAGATGAACTACCTGTTCTAGTTATTTCTTCATTTTATTTTTACTTAAAAAATTTTTTTTAATTTTAAAGATGAGAGGTTCAATTCAAGATTAGGTATAAAAGTGGTCATCGTATAGGTAAAAGTTTAGGCCTCCCTTTGGTCCCCACTTTGTCTGGTTTGAGATCAGGTACCCTTATTGATGTTGTATCCCCCGCCACCTACTCTGGCAGTATCCTGCTACCGCCAATTCCTTTCTTATAGTATTATGATAAATGTTCAGGGTCTGCTTATGAATGAGAACATGTAGTATTCTGTTCTTTGTTTCTGTGAAGAACTAGACATTGATCTTCCATACGTCCCAGCAATTTCTCTACTGGGAATATAACCAGAGGAACTCAAATCATTCTACAAAAGATACCAGCACACACACGTTTACTGCAGTACTATTCACAATAGCAAAAACATGGAACCAACTGTGCTGTCCACTGAAACTGGACTGGATTAAAAAAATTTACATATACAATACGGAATATTACGCAGCAATAAAGAAGACAAACATATGGACTCTGTAGAAAATTGGATGGATTTAGAGCCGATCATACTCATTTTCTCAAAAAACATTCTCATAGGCACCTTTGGCGCATCAGGCATGATGCTTGTTTTGAGGCTTAAGTGGAAGAATATTTCATTTACGTAGCTCAGGGGTCAGCCAATTACAGCCCATGGCAAATACAGTCCGTCAACTATTTTTGTTTCTGTGTAAAGGAGTTTACATTTTTTTTTGAGTTGGAGTCTCACTGTGTTACCCAGACTGGAGTGCAGCAGCCTCTACCTGTTGGGCTCCGGCGATCCTTCTGCCTCAGCCTTCCAAGTAGCTGGAACTACAGGCATGCGCTACCATGCCTGGCTCATTTTTTATTTATTGTAGAGATGAGGTCTCGCCAAGTTGCCCAGGCAGGTCTCGAACCTGCAGGCTCAGGCAATCCACTCACCTCAGCCTCTCAAAGGCGCGGGATTACAAGCTGAGCCACCGAGCCTGGCTGAGTTTACATTTTTTAATGTTTGAAAAATAGTTGACAGAATACTATTTTGTAACATATGAGAATTACAAGAAATTCAAATTCCAATGTTCATGTATAAAGTTTTGTTGGGACACAATCATACTCACCTGGTTTTATATTGTCTGTGCTTCCTTTCACACTATAGTTGCAGAATCTGGTAGTTGATGACTGAGACCAGAAGGCCTGCAATGCTCAAACTGACGGCATGGCCCTTTACAGAAAATTTTTGCTGAGCCGATTTAGGCCCTCCTTCTTTCAGAAAGAATTTAAGACCATTTCAAGGAAAGGGTATATGATATAATAAAATGAAAGTAGCAGATAGAGCAACAAAATAGGTATGAAAATGGAGCCAGGAAAGAAGTAAATAAAACATGAATATCAAAGTCGTGTGAATTTGACACAGATGGGTCACAGGTTTCCTCTAACCTGCTTGGAGACCAGTGCAAAGAGAAAGACCTGATCAGTTTCCCAGTTTAGTGTACACAAGAAACAAACAGACCAATCGGAGTCAGAGAAATACCTATTTCTAGTCAGAAATTTACCTCAAGGATTTATATACAAAGGACATCCCATGATGAAACAGATAAAATCCATAGCAATATCCTTATAGGAGAGGAAAAAAATGAGTTTCACCAGGCACTGAGAGATGCAAAAGACATAGACTTGCCATCAGGAAATGTAGTGTATCAGAGATAAGCTTTATGTGTGTGTGTGTATACACATACATACATATATAAAACTCTACCCATATTTACCTGGTGCATATATAAGTTTAGAGCATTATAGTAATCCATTCGATTCCCCTTGAACTTCAGTTGGTCATACAGGACATAGTTCATGGCATCCAGCACCTGGCTCTGAAGCTCTATTTCCATTATCATGGGAGATTCACCTGAAACACAGAGATCTACTCTGGGACACAGCACAAACATGGTCGTGACCGGTGCCCCCCAAAAACTCATAACACGTAAACACTGGCAATGGCTTAGCAATATTAATCAAGTGTCACCAATCCAGAAATCAGAAGAGAGTATGTATTTAAAGTCTTTGAGATGACCCAGATAAACATGTGACTGTGTCATTTGCCACCTTTTCATGTCATCATAGAAGTACACAAAGAAATGTCCCAAATTAACCAACTCCTCCAGAGATTTTCTTTTGCAAGCAGAGCTGGATCTAAAGCAATGCCACACCTGCCTTGAAGGTCAAGCTGGGGTGGCGACCGTTAATGCCCCGCAAGGTTTTGCAAACAAGCTCTACAATGCTGTCAATCTGGGCCTGAATGTCTTTGAGGCTGATGTCGGATAGAGGGTTGCAGTACTGGTCAATATACACGGCACCTAAAAATGAACAAGAAACATGGAATAAATCCTTAAGTTTATTTTATTCTTATTAGTTTATAATGTGACCCTAGACACCCTGGGATATGGCTCTTTACATCATCCCACTGGACAAGCTCATTTTTGCTACCAAGTCTTGCTGCTAACACACTGAGAAGGAGCAACAAACATTTTGAAAACAAAAAAGATTATATTTGACATTTTTTTAAGAAAAGAGGATCTTGCTCTGGGGCCCAAGCTTGAGTGCAGTGGCAATGAACATTGCTCGCTACAGCCTTCAACTCCTGGGCTCAAGTGATACCCCGACTCAGCCTCCTAAGTAGCTGGGATTAAGGCGTAAGCCACCATGCCCAGCTAGTTTTTTTTTTTTTTTGAAGAATCGAAACTCTCAGCCGGGCTTGGTGGCTCAGCCTGTAATCCCGCGCCTCTGGGAGGCTGAGGTGAGTGGATTGCCTGAGCCCGCGGGTTCGAGACCCATCTGGGCAGCGAGACCTCATCTCTACAATAAATCAAAAAAATCAGCCAGGCATGGTAGCGCATGCCTGTAACCCCGGCTACTTGGAAGGCTGAGGTGGAAGGATCGCCGGAGCCCAGCAGGTCGAGGCTGCGGTGGCCAGGAGCGTGCCACTGCACTCCAGTCTGGGCGACAGAGTGAGACTCCAACTAAAAAAAATAAAAAATTAAAAATTAAAAAAATAAAATAAAATAAAAGAATTGAAACTCTCTCAGAGGTCATGGCTAAAAAACTGGGTGATATGTGGCATATTTCCATATTCTATTACTAAAGGAAATAAATATTATAAAGGAGATCTTTTCAAGCTACTTCTCTTTCCCTCTCAAACTCTCTTATAGGTTTAAACTCCAACAACTCTGAAGACCTAATGGTATAAACCAGTTCATTTTAAAAAAAGTATAATCCCCCCCAAAACTATGAAAGCCCTCAATAACAGATATGCCTTTTCAACAAATTACACTTTTCAAGAGTGAACAGTAGATGGACTTTGGAGATAATCAGGGAACCTGCAGAACAAAAGCTGTATAAAGCATATTGAAGACACTAAAAATCACTACTCTTCAAAGACTTAGGTCATTTTTTTTTAACCAGAGACTGAACGGCTAGCATCATCATTTGAGTACAGGACATTTTCACTTGACAAGCCCTCAAGTCATCCTAAATTCAAGAGATCTCAAAGCAGCTTGAAACCTTGACTCTCCTACCACCACCCCAAGGAGATGAAAGTTGAATAGTTGTTAAGAGACCTTGACTCCAGTCGCAGTGTTGTAGACTGACCAGGGACTGGTTTCTGGGCCTCTGTGGGCCCAAGCTTTCTCACCTTAGGCTGCAGGAGTTTATGATGCCCTTCCCTAAAGTCCACTCCAACCTAATGTTATGAATCCTAGATTGCTTCAACGGCATCAGTGTTATTCTAGCCAGTCACCAAGGATTGTAACCCTAGAGCCAACTACTATTCACTTAACTACTTAAAAACCTTCAGCAGCTTCCCGATGCCGACAGCACTAATTTGGATGGGTTATAAGAAAATTATAATATACCTTCCTATTTGGAAAATAAAAAGAAGTATTCGTTTTCATATATAAGCTATAGAAAATAAAGCCTGCCAAACACTTAACTGTGAAATGAACAGAAGATAGAACGATTCTCGACTGCAATGTACGTATGTGAGAGGATACCAGGGTGGTAAGGGTATTTTATATTAAATATTTATATTGAACTGAGAGATTTTTAATTTCCTTTTGGAAGATACCAGATTTTCATGCAGTCAACTAGTATCTACACTATACACTGGGGGGCACACAGTGATCATAACCTAAGGACTAGGAATATAAAAAACTTAGTAACCAGTTGGAGAAGCAAAATGTATACATGGGAAACCCTAAGACAGTTTACTACTAAATGCTACTGCAAAATCTTTAAGCAGTCAGTTGAAACTTGATAGAAGTGAAGCTTGAGCTGAACTGTGGAGGGTGAGTAGGACTTTCAAAAAGAATTATGAGAAGAGGGATACCACGAATAAGAAAGTGAAGCCAAGCAGGGCTCGGTGGCTCAGCCTGTAATCCTGTGTTTTGGGAGGCTGAGGTGAGTGGATTGCCTGAGCCTGCGGGTTTGAGACCTGCCTGGGCAACTTGACAAGACCTCACCTCTACAATAAATCAAAAAATTAGCCGGGCATGGTAGCGCGTGCCTGTAGTTCCAGCTACTTGGAAGGCTGAGGCAGAAGGATCACTGGAGCCCAGCAGGTCGAGGCTGCGGTGGCTGGGAACGTGCCACTGCACTCCAGTCTGGGCAACAGAGTGAGACTTCAACTCAAAAAAGGAAGAAAGGCACTCGTCTGGACAAAGGCCTCGTGTTTGGATTTGGGGGAGGATCAGATTATGAAGGGCATTGAGAAGCAAGCCTAGAGTATATTTAAGAGGGAAAGCAGTTGTCACCACTGCAGGTTCGCATGGAGTGATGAAAAGTTGGGTTTCAGATGGGTCTGGCACTGATGTTTTGGCTGACTTGAGGGCAGGAGGAGGTGATTCTCCTTAAACCAAGTATTCCTTAGAAAACTGTTGTTGAGAGAGACAGCCAGAGGCTGCATGAGAATGGTAAGAGAAGCCAGGCACAGTGGCCCACACCTGTAGTTCCAGTTACTCAGGAGGCTGAGGTGGGAGGACTGCTTAAGCCTAGAAATTCAAATCTAGCCTAGGCAATATAGTGAGATCCCATCTCTTAAAAAAAAAAAGAATAGTAATTGAATGGAGACCCCTATGAGATACATTAGAAGGGGGAAAAAAAACCCAAAACGAAAAACAATGAATTAATTCATCAGGAGTAGGGAATGAATGATTAGTCATATCGGTTTTTTCATAACCACAGTGTATGGGAGGGTTTGTGTAATAATGTAGGAATGTAAAGGTTTTTTTAAAAAATGAAGTTACCATGCGATTCCATGGAAGTGAATAATGCATAACTTCCTTGGAGGAAAAAAAAATGAAGTCACATTTTGTTTCTGTTCAATTTAATAAGAACAGATAGTCCCTTCATCCTGCCTGTCCACTCAACTTCTTTGTCCTCACTTCTCATCAAGGACGAGCAGTCTCACAGATGCTCAAGAACATTCTGTCCTCAATAAACTCCAACCAGCGAGGATAGGAGATCTGCTCAAGGTCACTGGAAGTCAAAACCAGATACATTTATTTCTGATTTGGAAATGATGCTTTTTTAAAGCTTAGAAAAACAAGGAACTCACCTTATTAGCTAAAATATTGATCTCACGCTGGAAACCAATGATGCATCTTGAAAAAATACTATCTTTTTAGCTGACTTTGGCAAAATCTTAGCTCTAAATTTAATCGTTTTGCCTACTTCATTGGTCAGGACACACAATCTAACCTGCAGAAGCCCACACAGCATGGTGTGCTTTGCACAGCTTTGTCACCAGGAACAGGTGCCACTACATCTCTTATAGCCTGCTCAGTCACCTTGGAAGTGCCACTGTCCACGGACACAGGAAAAGACCTACCTTCAAGATATGACTCATAGTCATCAGGCTGCTGAAGGAAAGCCTTAAGATTATTTAAAATCTTCTGTTGCCGCAGGTAGTAAAGAATTTTTTTGGCATAGTATTTCCAGGTCAAAGCTTTTCTAGAAAAACAAACATGTCAAAAATTAAGATCTGAAAACTTTCAATTACGTATTTTTCACTTCACACTAACCATGCCATGTAGTCTACTTAATAAGAAAAATGTAATTGGCTCATGATTGTGTAGTACTTATTATCATGGAAGCAGACAGAACAGGTTAACTCTGCATTTGTAATATAACACTGAATCAGCTGCATTGAAATCTGAGAAACGGCTGGGCTCGGTGGCTCAGCCTGTAATCCCACGCTTTGGGAGGCTGAGGTAAGTGAACTGCCTGAACCCGCGGGTTCAAGACCCGCCTGGGCAACTTTCTATCTTTGGTGAAAGGAAATGGAAGACCAGCCTGAAAAGTGAATTGAGCTGAGTGATCCTCAGGCGTGGGAACACACCTGGAACCATTTGCAGGTCCCCCATCTAGGGACACTGAGGCCATGGGCTCTCTTTTCTCTGGCACACACTGCCATGGTGAACTTACGCAGCTGATGGTAAGCACTGACAACCTTACTTTATTTTTAAAAGAGTTCTCCAATGAACTCAGATCTGTATATCCAACCACTACTATCCAACTCCACATCCCACTTGGATAGCTTTGTGTACCTTCCTCTGTCCCTCCTTAGAGTCACCCTCCTCTCTGCTCAATGCACCTCCATCATCCAGTGCGGCCAAAAACCTTCGAGTCATACTGGATGCCTTGCTTTCTCTCATAAACCACCTTAACCTGTCAGCCAATGCTACCAGTGATGTCTTCAAAATATATCCAAAATGTGAACACTTCTCACTAGCTGACCCACTTCACCATCTTTTGTCTGTATTACAGCAACGTCTTCCTAACTGAGCTTCCTGCTTCAAACCTGGACCCTTGCATCTATCCTCAATAAGCAGGCAGAAAGTGTACCCACACTTTACCTGTATGATGACCATGTATGTACCTCATTTGTACCCATTTTTAAAATAAAATAATTAAAAATTATATTAAAAGAAAATAAGCAGGCAGAGTGCTCCATTTATGATCACTCATAGCTCCATGATCTCTGCCCCCAGTTCTCCAGTGGCTGCCCAATGTGCTCAAAGTAAAAGCCCAAGTCCTAATGAGGACCTGTAAGGTCTCTTCCACTCTCGCCCCATTATTTCTCTGACCTCAATTCCTGCTACTCTCCATCAGCCCAGTCACACTGGTGTCCCTGTTGTCCCTTTACCACACCTGGTTGGTGGTGCTCACCTTTGCACTTTCCATTTCTTCTGACCAGAACATTCTCTTCCTGGAGACCTGCAGTCTGTTTTCTCATCTCCTCCTAGGTCTTGATTCAAATATCCCTTTGACTAAGGCTCCTCCCGCACCCTACTTAAGATGACACCCTCGTCACCATTTTCTTGCCTTCCCTGATAAATATTTCTCTACCGCACTTTTCATTTTTTAATGTAATAACGATCCCATTTTTTAGTGCCTATCTCACGCACTACAGTGTAAGTCCCACAAAAGGTGGGATTTTTTTGTGTGTTGTTCACCACTGCATCCCCAGTGTCTAGAATAGTATTGGCACACAGTACACTCAATTAAAACTTGTTGAGTGAATAAAACTCTTCATCAGATCTCTCAAATATACATAGAAATTATAAGAAAGAAATAGACAGTGATTAAGCATATCTGGCTGACTTCATAAAGAAACAGAACACATTAATCTGGAGAGAGGGAAATGAAAATCAGCAAACCTATGTATTATCTACTTTTTAACCTTTAAGTTGAAAGATACATCAATCTAGAAAACCGCATGACACAATAGCTCAATGAATCATTATAAGGCAACACTCTTGGGTCCACCACTCTGCAGACAGCCCGGACGTCCTCTAGAACCCGCTCCGTCCCCTTAACAATCATCACACTCCTCACCGCTACAGCCTTCACGTCTTTGCCCTCCTCTGTAGTGTAACCACCAAGTGTGCATCCCTAAGCACTCTGGTCTGTTTCTATGTCTTTTATATTTCTTAACCTACAGGATCCTACTCCATCTTCTTTTCCCTCTGCATTTTATTTGCTGAAGAAACAAGGTTGTTTGACCTGTAGCTTCCCACAGTCTGAAATTTGCTGATTGTATCCACATGATGTAGTTTAACATGTTCTCTGTCTTCTGAATCTCAGAAGATTCAGAAGACAGAAGACATGTTAAACTACATCATGTGGATGGAGAGGCTCAATGGGACTCAGATTCCATTTGGCAAGACAATTTCATAGGAGGCAGTGCATTCTTCCATCAGGAGGCAATAATGCCAGGTGGTCTATTTTGTGATGCTGGCAGCCATTGCTATTCAATGCCTTGACCTGTTAATTTGTTAAGGTTACAAAGTGGTGGTATTAGTTTTTCTTTTTCTTTTTTTTTTGATATAGGGTCTCATTCTGTTGCCCAGATGAGCTCATGGCTTACTGCAGCCTCAAACTCCTGAGCTCAAACAATCCTCCTATCTTGGCCTCCCAAGTAGCTGGGACTACAGGTGCATCACCATACCTAGCTAATAAATTTTTATTTTTTTGTAGAAACAGAGTCTCACTATGTTGTCCAGGCTGGTCTCAAATTCCAGGCCTCAAGTGATCCTTCTACTTCAACCTCCCAAAGTGCTAGGATTATAGGGGTAAGTCGCTGTGCCTGGTTGACAAAGTGGTAATGTTCTAATTTAGCCATCTCTTTGTTATTAGCTGGAATACATCTACAAAGAAAAACATGGCTGGGCACGATGACTCATGCCTATAATCCCAGCTCTATGGGAGACCAAGGCAAGGAGGATCACTTGAGGTCAGGAGTTTGAGACCAGCCTGGGCAATGTAGCAAGATCGTGTCTCTAAAAAAGGAAAAAAAGAAAAGCTTTCCCTCATCTGCTATTTGATCCCCCAATGGTATAGGAGATAGAAGAGGTGGGATAAATGTTCATGTCTTTCTGTTTATTTATAATTCTTCAAAATTTGATTTGGGTTCTCTAAAGGTGACCAATTAATTGTTGTTTTTACTTCTTACTATGACTATATGGAATAACATATATTTGATGTTTCAATCCTTTCTAGTTACAATCCACATTGTCACATCTTTGGCCAATGGAACTTCTTTATGTTGGTCCCTGAACATATCTGACATGAAGTATTGTCAATTTCTTGCTATCTGGCTCCAGGCTTCCAAGAGGCCCCAGTCTCATCTTTTAAAGTTCCTGCGGTGGCTCACACCTGTAATCCCAGCACTTTGGGAGGCAGAGGAGAGAGGGCTGCCCAAGTCCAGGGGTTCAAGACAAGCCCGCACAACTTGGTTAGACCTTGTCTCTACAATAAATCAAAAAATCAGCTGGGCGTGGTGGCGAGCCTTTAGTTCCAGTTACTTGAAAGGCTGAGGTAGAAGTATTGCCTGAGCCCAGAAGGTTAAGGCTGCAGTGGCTGTAAGCTTGCCACCGCACTCCAGCCTGGGTGACAGAGTGAGACTCCACCTCAAAACAAACAAAATAATAATAAAGTTCCTGCATTGGACCTAGAATCAATAATTTCTCCAAAAACTCAGACTTCTTTTAGTGGAAGACATCCTATCAAGATCACAATCTGAAGCTAGGGAAGGTTGTCTCTACTGGGTTGGTCATTAGTTCTAAACCTTTTCAGTAGACAGAGCTCGTAAGGGGTGTGTGTGTGTGTGTGTGTGTGTGTGTGTGTGTGTGTGTACATACATACAGACACATATACCTACATATATTAAGATATAAAAATACCTCATGAGTTCATACTGACACTTCTAGTTCACATTCAGAAATATATGGCTTTGACCATCTTCTATCTTCTATCTGTATCTTCTTCATTCCAGAATTCTACTTCTCCAGATTACCAGAGATGACAGAATTAGAATATCACTAATTATTCATTTGCTTCATTCCATACATTTCTCTCTCATACATACACTAGCTTCAGAATAATAAGACTAACATTCTCATCACTTTTATGATTACTGAAAACACCTAAATATTGTGCACATATTCCCCACTGTGTCCACTCTTTTTTATTTTTATTTTTAAGAGATGCACTGTATCCACACTTACAGGGTTATGGTCATTACACATGCAATACTTTCTCCCCTATGACCCTCATTGAATTTAATCCTACAAATAAACATATTTAATGCTCACCACCAGTCCTTATGTCAGTGTCTCTCTGTATGTTTGCTTGTTTAAAGCTCATCTTCCAGTAGATTTGCTAGCAAGGGCTACAAAGTTCCCAAGTTTTTGTGAACTGATAAGTTTGTCTGTAGTCTTTATATCTGGAAGTCAGTTTGGCTGTATATAAAAATCCTTGGCAGACATTTTGTTTAGATCTTTGAGTATCTTAAATATGTTACTTCTCCCTCCTTTGGCATAAAGTATTGCTGTTGAAAGTCTGATGACATTCTGATTTTCTTTTCCTTATAAATGACTTTTTTTTTTCCTTAGATGCCCAAAGGGCTTTTCTGTCTTTAAAATCCATTTCCTAAAAAATAGTCTGAGTACTGATCATTCTGGGTCAATTTTCTCAGTGTGTGTCCCTTCGATATGTTGCTTCCAATCTTTATTGTATGATGTACTCTTTTTTAAGACCATGTAGAACATTATAAATGCAAATTGTTTTCAAATATCCAAAGGCTGACACATTAGCATTTATAGAAACTACCCTTTTTCCTCCCTATGCTGTTCATATCCAAACCACCAGCAATCATGAGGAATAACTATAAACAGGGTGCTCCATAAAAACTAGTATGCCAAAATACTTTTAAAATGTGAAGTGTTTCTTGTTATTAAAAACCAACCCTATTTTAGGCTCAGAATATGTGTTGGGTTAAGGGGTAATATATTTATATTTACATTGAAAAAGACTACTATAACAATATACGTCTTCACTGACTATGCATTTTTGTCTATTTTGCCAGTCTGATAAACAAAAAACAATATTTCATTGTTCTTTTATTTAACCTTTTTTGAATAGTGAATTCAAAGTTTTTGTTTTTTTTTTAATTATTATCAGCCATTTGGATTGCTCTTCTGTGAATGTTGTCCTTCTATGCTTTGTACATTTTTCAATGTCTTTTTGGAAATTCCTAAGAGTTCTATTGACTTTGGTCATATAGAAGTTTATTTTTTAATCAGAGGATTATTTGTTTATGTCTTTTATTGATAATATATCTGCATTATCAGTCTTCGTTAAGGAGGTCTCCCTAGACTGCACATGAAATTTCCTATTTTCTTGAGGGATTTGTATTGTAATCATTTAAAAATTTCAGTTCTTTAATCCTTTGAAATAATTTTGTTGCATAAGATGCACATTTTCCTTTCTTCCAGATGGATATTCAGTTATGTCCAATAATATTTATTAAATAATCAATTTTCCCCTTAGAGTTTAAATGCATTAAATTATTTTTTATTCTGGGATGTGATTCTTAATTTTCCTTTGCTAGGGATGTGGCTATTTTTATCTAATCATTGCACTGTCTTGATTATACGTGGCTTTATAATATGCCCTAATACCTAGTAATGCAAGTTTCTCATTATGATTATGATTATTTTTATTTATTTATTTTTTTGAGTGGAGTCTCACTCTGTCGCCCAGACTGGAGTGCAGTGGCCGCTCCCGGCCACTGTAGCCTCGACCTGCTGGGCTCCGGCGATCCTTCCACCTCAGCCTTCCAAGTAGCCAGAATTACAGGCATGCGCTACCATGCCCGGCTGATTTTTTTATTTATTGTAGAGATGAGGTCTCGCCAAGTTACCCAGGTGGGTCTCGAACCCGCAGGCTCAGGCAATTCACTCACCTCAGCCTCCCAAAGTGCGGGATTACAGGCTGAGCCACCGAGCACGGCTTCATTATGATTATTTTTTTAAAAATTTTCTGACTCTTCTTATAATTTCTCTTAAGGAAAATACTGAACTAGCATTCTTATCTTCCATCACTAGAAAGTTTTCAGAACTTTTAGAGCAGAAAATCTTTTCCACAGGCAAGTTAGGCTGGAAGCCAAGTCATCTTTCAAGTAAACTAGAGATTAAGTACCACAGGTTGTATATATTCTATGACAATATTATCCAAATGAAAAATAAAACCCTCTTCTTCCCCCCCAAAATACCCTTGTTTGGATCCTAACTGGTATGGCATTAGGTTTATAAAGTTAATTTTGAGAGAACATCTGTGTGAGAGTAAGTCTTCCCATTTAAGGACATGCCACCACTTATTTTGTTATTCAATAATATTCTACAGTCTGACCTAGGAAACCCATTCCCAGGAATCTATTGCTTAGAAATGAAACCACCAGAAGCATCACTCTTCATAGTGACACAAAATGGAAAAGAAAATGGTTTCTGGTCAATAGGAGAATGATTAAATAAATTACGCAAAACACTACAAAATAGTAGGTAGCTGTTAACACAAGTGAATTTGATTTTCTACCACTTGATTAGTATAGATTTCCATAAGGTAATGTTGAGCCAAAAAAAAAAAAAAGATGTAGAAAAGCACCTACTCTCAATTTTGGTAATTAATAATCCCCCTCCCCCCTTCCCCATATGCATCACCATCTACTGGCATGCAAGAAGATAACCGAGGTTGTTATCAAGAATTACAGAATGGGGTCAGAAGGCCAGTGCAAATGGAGGACTAGGGAGGAAGAAGGAAACAGCATAAATAAGAAAAATGAAATCTGTACTAAACATCAAACCAAACAACAAATTACATATCCATGAAATGGCATTTATATATTTAAAAGTATATAGGTATGTGTGTAAAAAACACAAGTCAGCTTTTATTTTAAGGCTGTACAATACTGACTATTAGATCATACTTCAATTCATTTATAGATAAACCAAAATAGAAACGGAAAAATGACCTCTGCATCTGAACACATCCAAGGCCTAGAATAGTGACACGTCTTACCTCTACCCACAGCTGATCCACTAATAGATACTTCTCTCCTAAATCCCCTTAAAAAACAACAACAGAAAGAGTTTATGCCTTGTTTGTGAGTTATTTCACAATGATTTCTCTTAAACTAGCATTCTTATCTTCCATCACTAGAAAATTTTCAGAACTTTTAGAGTAGAAAATCTTTTCTACAGGCATGTCAGGCTGGAAGCCAAGTCATCTTCCAGGTAAACTGGAAAATAATCTCCATGAAAAAACTAGAAGGCATAAAAATTTAAGCAACAACCAAGCGATAATGGGCTCTTCCTGATCAGGAGAGTACCTAAGTTAATAGTTTTCTGACTGAGAGGTAAAAGAAAGGTTAAACCAAATATCTGTAATGTTCAAGACCAAAGTAAGATTATTTTCTTCCAAAATTCAGAAATTGTAAAAAACATCCATTAAATCAAGACATATCCAAGAAATTCCTTTTTAAAAAATAGGTTCAATTCAAGACAAGGCAAATTTGGTAGTGAAAGGTAGAGAGGTAATAATAAAAGAAGGATCATTTATATTACTGAAAGGTTCCTAAATGACATAACAGATGCAAGTGCCCGGAGCAAATATTTGACCTGCAGCAGCACTAAACATTAATTTCCTTTTCTTTCCATACGGATTTTTGAAAGGTTTCTTTTTATGCCAATCGTCTTGGTACATTTACATTATATTCACCGAACTTTTCCAAATTGTAACTATGGCAACACATGGAATATTTGGAAACACATGTTCCAGGGTTCTCCCATATACAAATCATAGCATTTTGTTCTGGAGTTAGAACAACAAAATTCCTGCTAAACCTATGGCTTACCTTCCTTCCATATTTAGGATACACACCAATTCATCCTCAAAAAATATCTCTGGTCCCTCAAGGTTCTCAATGTCACTGAAGCCATTGCAAGGAACCTATGAAGAAGACATGTACAAGTATGCCTCAATTACGCGTATTAATGTAACAGTCACTCTCATACACAAATCTAAGCTGCAAACAAAGATGCCCACTACTATGAACAGTGGTAACAGTGGCTATTTTACACTACCTTGCACTACCCACCATGGATGGAAGTAACAACACATGTAATTTGTTCAGATCTTGTTGTTACTTGTAAATTAATTATGTTTTCACAGACTGAAATTTCTGAAAGTGATTGATTCAGAGCTCTAATGTGAAGAAAAACAGCTCTGAAACAAGGACTAGAAATAAAAAATCTCATAATTAGTACTATTTCCCGCTGTCTACGGTACACTTAATTAGGAGAACAGGGTCAGAGAGGTAAGTGTAATATGAAGGGCAGCTCCTTGAACCCACTGAGCAGGCTTTCTCTGTAAACTGAGGTGGCGGTACAGACGGCTTTAAGATCCTCTCAGTTTAAAATTCTAGGACTTCGCCCACTTTTCTTTTTGAAAGTAGTCTGAACATTCAGGTCAACCTGGGTGCATGCTGAGAACATAGGAACACCAGGGTCCTGGCCCAAAGCAATCACCCACCCACAGATCAATCTTAAGTATGCTCCTGCTGTGTTCAAAGTTCTTGACATACTTCTAATTAAGCAGTGGTAGAGGGAAAGAGGGAGCTAAGGAAAAAACAAAACAATTCATCATTATTAGACAATGGTGCAGACTGATAAAAATGCACACAAAACCAGCTGGACTAGCAATAGAGGTTGCAAACTAGTAGCCCATGACCACCCCACCAAACACATCTAGCGCCAAAATAAATGTGTGTGCAAACACATTTAAACCAGTATTTACAATTTATGATTGTGAATGCTTTTAGCCAGGGCACAATTTCTCCAAAGCAGAATATAAGTTTTGCTTATTCTGACATCAATAAACATTTTTAGAAATGAGTTACACTAGGGAATTCTATTTTTATTCTCTATAGGGGAATATGTTCAACTTGTTCAAAGTTCAAATTTTTCCTTTCAAAAGTTGAAAAGCCTTGAAAACATTTCGAATTGTATTAACTCCATTAACTAAGAGTAATTAAAATTTAAAAATCAGCAGCAGTCTTCAGTAAAACAGGACAGTAAAATATCAGGCTGGCTTTATTTCTAGACCCCACAATCAGAAATAAACATCTAATAGCTGGATGAATTTCAAACATCAGAGTGAACTATTTTCCAGAGTTACAAAATGTTAGGAATCAGGAACAGAAACAGAAACTTCCACGAGGCATTCTGAGAAAGGAAAAAACCCAACATCAAGCATTTCAGCACTATTAAAAAAAAAAAACTCTTCATGGATAATGAATGCAAGACAATTCTGAGGGAGTCATAATTCTGATTTATAGGTAGCTTTTAATCCTGTTACCTTAACAAATAATGCAGTTCACTACTGAGTAGAACCTGCAAAGCCTGAGAGAAGAACCACATTAATTTCGCCAACCCTTCCAGGCAAACAACTGGGAGAAATTTACAGTGTTCAATCATTGATGATTCCCCAAACAATGTGGAGGCTGCAAAACATTCGTTCTACCTACTTGGAGAGAAATAAAGCTGATCTAGATTCCCTCTACATGGTGCAGTGTGCGACCTTCCCTATTCCCTCCACCCCCATTCTCTCTGGCTTTACAAAAGTAAAGCTGGCGAGGACAAATGGCTTCGTGCTGTTGGAGAGGAAGAAAAGGACACAATGACTCTTGCAGCCAAGTGAGTGAGTAAGGGATTGTAAGAGCACTGAAAAGGAGGTATCAAAAAGATCTGGATGAGCTAACGCCTGCAGACCCAGACACCCAGACACCCAGACACACACACACAACCAAGCCACAGCTTAGAGCCCCATCAACAGATCCTTACATGCTCTGAAAAGAACCTCTTTGAGAAGGAGGCTACAATCTTTCGCGCTTCCACCCAGACACAGACACACACACACACACACACAATCTTTCGCGCTTCCACCCAGACACAGACACACACACACACACACACACTACTACCAGGCCACAGCTTAGAGCCCCATCAACAGATCCTTACGTGCTCTGAAAAGAACCTCTTTGAGAAGGAGGCTACAATCTTCCGCGCTTCCAACCCAGCTTTCTGGCGAACTTTATACTCCTCCAACCAATTGACGTAGTCGGTGGGGCTGTAGTGTTTCATAAGGGAAGGCCACCTACAAGGAGAGAAACACCCCCTCAGCTTAACCGAGACTCAAAGGCAGGGGGACACGCATCAAAGGCAGCCTTGAAAAACAGGGGCAGCGGTCCGGTCTGGTAGTCAGAGGGGCCCGGGCGATGGCCCTCGTTCAAACCTCCACCCGGCGCGCAAGCCCTCACTCGCGGTGTGACCTTGGCGTGGCGACAGACGTGCTGGGTCTATAAAATGGGGACAGGTGTAGCAACAACAACGAGGATGACGACGACGATGACAGCGAGCCCTGACTGCGCGCCTCCGAAGAGCCGGGCCCGGGGTGCGTGCTTCCCACACATCATCTCATCTAACAACCACGGTAGAGGTTTTTTGCTATGTGCAAAGATCGTTCGCACGCCGAGTCGATGAATGAGGCTCGAAAAAAGAGATGCCGCTACCCCCAAGGTCACAGGGGGAGCACGCGGGGCCAGATTCGAGCCCGGGTCTCCCCCGAAATCCGTGCCGTCCACCACCAGCCAGGGGATGCTGCACCCGCTAGACGATTGCATCACTGGATCCGTGTAAACATTTTAGCACGGAGTCGGGCACAAAAGAAGCGCGCAAAATGGACCAGCCGCGGCGCCACCAGCGTCATCCTGGATCGAGGGCCCGCGTGCGGGGCGCTCCTAGATGCGCCATCTGGGGCCCGGG